CCTCAATTAATAGAAATGTTGCCCAAATGTAGGAGGCAGAAGGAATGAGAAAGTGCATAGGAGAGGTACAGTAGGAGGTGGGAAAGCATGTTTCAATCAATCTATCAGTTGTGGCCTGTATATCCATTAGAAGCAAGTCTAAGTGCAAAAAGTGCGGGACAACTCCAAGCACTCTTGGATGAAACTGATTATCTAGACCCAATTCAGTCTGGCTTCAGACCCGGGTACGGTACTGAATCTGCCTTGGTCGCCCTGTATGATGACCTGTGCAGGGAGAAGGACAGGGGGAGTGCATCCATGTTGGTTCTCCTGGACCTCTCAGTGGCTTTCGATACCATCGACCATGGTATCCTTCTGGATAGGCTAGCGGGATTGGGGGTTGGAGGCACTGCTTTGCTGTGGTTCCGCTCCTATCTCAATGACCGATTCCAGAAGGTGGTGCTGGGGGACTATGGTTCTGCACCATGGCAGCTATGCCATGGAGTACCGCAGGGGTCCATCTTGTCCCCTTTGCTGTTTAACATCTACATGAAACCGCTGGAAGAGGTCATCAGGAGGTGTGGGCTGCGGAGTCATGAGTACGCTGATGATACCCAGCTCTACCTCTCATTTTCCACCAATCCAGGTGAGGCAGTGGCTGTACTGAACCGGTGCCTGGCCGAGGTAATGGGCTGGATGAGGGCCAATAAACTTAAACTCAATCCAGACAAGACGGAGGTCCTGTTGGTTGGCGGATTGGGCTTCGGAGAGGGTGGATTTGACCTGGTCCTGAATGGGGTTGCACTCCCTCTTAGGGACAAGGTTCGCAGCTTGGGAGTGCTCCTCGACCCGGAGCTTTCACTGGAAGCTCAGGTGACAGTGGTTGCAGGGAGCGCTTTACTTCAGCTTCGGCTGATTCATCAGCTGTGCCCCTACCTGGAGTACGACTGTCTGGCGACAGTGACACACACTTTGGTGACTTCCTGCCTAGACTTTTGTAACGCGCTTTACGTGGGGTTACCCATGAAGACGGTCCGGATACTTCAGTTGGTTCAAAATAGAGCTGCCAGGCTGCTGACGGGGACTGGGCGTTAGGTTCACATGACTCCAGTCCTCCGTCAGCTTCACTGGCTTCCCATGTCCGGGCCCAATTCAAGGTGTTGGTGATGACCTGTAAAGCCCTAAATGGCTTGGGTCCTGGTTACCTGAAGGAGCGCCTATGTCCATATATGCCTGCCCGCCCCTTGATATCTACAGGAGAGGCCCTTCTCCGGGAACCCTCCGTGAAAGAAATCAGGAGGGTAAGTACTTGCAGGAGGGCTTTCTCTGCGGTGGCGCCCAATCTATGGAATGCGCTCCCCAGAGAGGTCCGCCTGGTGCTGTCGTTATTTGTTTTTCGGCACCAGGCGAAGACCTTTTTATTTAAGCGTCATTTTAATTGTTAACAGTATTTGCTTATTTATCTGGCCAGGGCAACTTCTTTTATATTGTTATTTATTTTATATTGTTAGTTTATATTTTATATTGTTGTTATTGTAATTTTTATTATTTTATTTATTATTTATTTATTAAAACATTTTTATGCCGCCCCATTCGCTGAAGCCTCGGGGCGGCTTACATTATGTTGTAAGCCGTCCCAAGGCTTCGGCGAATGGGGCAGCATATAAATGTTTTAATAAATAAAAAAAATAAGCCTAAAACTGCCCTGTACTCCATGGGAGCCTATCATTCCCAAAGCTAGCAATCTAGCATCACATCCAAGACTGCCCGACTTCCTTAGGTGTTCTGAAGCAGCTGGCATGACATACATACTTCATTGTTTCAACTCCTCACTGCTTCATCTTATTTCTGGGAAGTCTCATTCTGCTCAGTGGTAGAACAAGTCCTCTCCTCTGACTTTGCTTGGTCAATCGATGGTTTGGAAAACAAAAATACTTTGCAGGAGGAAGGGTTTTGTTTGACATACATTATTTTTACTCTCTTTCTTATACTGTGGGTTGGAATGTGCAAGAATCTCACCTGAAATTCAGGTGTAGGGATGGAACACAGGCTCTTGATGCATCAGGAAATGGTGGGTGGTACTTGATACATTGTTTCTTCTTTTTTGCTTGGGCCTTCCCCCCCCACTTTGTCCTCCCCCTCCCCATTTTAACCTTTCAATTTAGTCATCTGTTCATTTCTTTTTTAATAAACTTATTTTCCCCTACTGGTGTGGCTTCTTTACGGAAATTTCCATACAAAAATTGGTTGGCAGCTTATGAATTGTGTAAATACCAAGTCCTCTGGTAGAGGATATGGGTGGTTTGTCTTAGCCATCTTTCAAAGTAACAACATCCAGTTTTATCCTTGCAAGTTTTGTTAAAATGTACTCTGATTATTTTTAATACTAGATATGGTAAGTTAAGCTCTTAATGACAGGAACAATTATGGTTCTTCCTGAAGATTTGTACGTTATTTTTCAGACAT